TACATGATCCAACCCAGGACCTCAGATGATCTGAGAATATGAGTTCTTAAGCACCTGCTCCTTATGAATAGTTTATCAAAACACCCTGATTCTATTCTTGCAGCTCACTCCCTGCCACACTAACTTCCACTTAGCTAAATATCTAAGTGTCTACTCTATGCCAGGTGCCATCCTAAGAGGTGGGATTATAGCAGGTAACACGAAAGACATGATCCCTGCTCTCCTGAAGCCTGACGTCTGGCAAGGATGACAAGTAAAAAGTACACGAGAGGACTTCTGGTGACAAAGGCTATGAACAAAGAGACACGGTGGTGGGATGGGGGGGGAGGCTGGCTTGGAAAGCCCTTCCTGGGAAGGTAACATTTGGATTCATACCCAAATGATGAGAAGGAGCCAGCCTTCCAAGCTGCAGGATAGTAAGTTCCTCATACTTAGAGCTCCACCTTAGACTTGGTGGGCTGAAGAGGATGTTAGCCGTGATCTAGTCCCAACTCCTGATTTATAGGTGAGTCTAGAGAGGCTCATTGAGATGAAAACACCAGGACAAGGTGCCCCAACTGACTGCAAGCCTGTTTCTTCCCACAGAGCCTTTGGACACACACACTGGAAATGTACGTACCTTACATTTGTGCTTTTAATCCCCTCAAACACGTCCTATTTATAATTTTATTTTCAGTACAGCCCTGGGGAAAGAGAGGCCCTCGCTGATAGTTGGTGAAATTGGAGCTCCAGTTGGCTGACTTGTCTAATGGTGGGTCATTAACAACCAAACCACAGCGTGCCGCGGGCTCTGTGCACCCCAGTCCCGTGTCCTTTCCCCTGGAGGAGCAGATGTCTAGCTAGCAGTTTATGAACACAAGACATCATTACCAGCAACTTCATAGTTTATGGTGCAGAGAACATACAAAAGAGTCCAAGATAAGAACAAATTACTTAGTCATAACACAAACTCAAAGTCCCTGAGTTATTTGCTGCAGGAAAAACATGTGACTACAGGTGACTAGACACCCAGCTCCCGTGACTTCTGCCTACGGGACTGAGAGCAAGCCCCTCGGTGCAACACTGCAGGGACAGCTGAGGAGGAAGGAGGCAGCCCAGCCCAGAGGTCTCCTTGGCTGGAGAGCCCATATATGAAGTCACATTTAAGTCCCTTAGACTCTTCTGCTTAGGAAGTGGCCAGTGGTTCCCAAACCTGGCTGCACACCAGAATCCTCTGGAATGTTAAAGAAACAAAGATTTTCAGACCCACAAAAGACCCAAAGAATTATACACTCCAAAGGGTAGAGCCTGGGGCAGTTGCTTTAAAACTCAGCCAGCCTAGAAACTCACTGGTTTTTCCTCATTTCTTAGTGCTATGACGTGATGAAAAGAGGAGATGCCTGTTTTTATTATCCAGTGGGAACTTTAAGTTAGGTTTTATCTTTGAAGGGCTGCTTCCAGAAGAAAATCTCTAATACACAAAGCCCTTGCCTAGTGGGGAGCTCCGAGGAGTATCCCCCTGGTGACCTGTGAGGTCTGTTGTCACGCCCCTTTTGGCTGCACACCAAACCCCCAGGCAAACCTGGGAAAGTTTTTTCTGAGGTTTACCAATTCCTTTGTGAAGCAGACCCTAAGCTGCAAGGGTCAGGCATCCCAAGCAGAGAGAACACCCCCACCACCACCCCAAAAGGGCCCTGGCTCCTTCCCCATAAGCCTCCCTTCTGCCCTGGACAGGCAGCCACTGCTTGGAAAAGGAGAAGGGAAAAGAAAGAAGGTGTTTCAGGCCGGGGTGGCTGGTGCCCTCAGTCAGGGGGACCGAGTGAGCTCTTACCTGGATCTGGGAAGAAGAAAAGCTGGTCCGTTCACCAGGGAATTCTCTCTCTGCTGGTGAGCTCTAGTCTTGGAACTCACTGGACTTTGAACAAAGATTGATTTAAAAGCTGATGTATTTAACAGGGACCTGTGGTCTGAGTTCAAGTGACCTCTGCCCTGCTTCCTGCCGGCTGGTGGGCCCTGAGCAGCCCAGTGCTGGCGCCCGCCTAACCCCCACACAGCGACGCTGCCGCTGGCCCGCGCCTCCCAGAGAAGAGGGGGGAGAGAAGGGAAGGGGCAGTGGGGGGAGGGGACGGGAGGGAAGGGGTAGGAGGCACCTCTGCCTTCCTCACTTCTCTCCCTTGGCAAATGCCTTGGTCACACCAACCAACACTCCATGTGTGAGGAGCCTCCACCGTGCCCCATCCCAGGGTCGGGGCTGCAGGTCACCACCTGAGCATCCTCGTGCACTGAGGCCTCCCTGGGGAGCAGGAATGTCCACAACCCCCTACCTAGTAGAAGGCCTGAGGGCCAACAAGCCACAGCAGAATGGAGCAGAGCCCCTAGGCACCCTCCTTCCTCCCCTGGGAGTTTTTACCCACCTGCAAAACCCCTGCTCTTATTTCCCATACTCCCCTCCTCTTCTTACGGGCTCTCTCCTCGCCCCCTTTTCTCACCTGAGGGTGCTCTGTCTCTATTCTCCAACATATCGACACTTGTTTTCCCCTTCCAGCCACTCAGAACCTCTCAGGCAAGCCCAGCAGGGGAAGGTGGCAGGCATTTCCACAAGCTCCCCAGCATGGCTGCCTGGGCAGTGGGGAGGGGCCCCAGCCGCCCCAGAGCACTAGCTCATCCCTATCAGCAGCGCCCACACAGGTAGACCCAGAGCTAGGCTTCTGACTGACTGGATCCTCAGCCCACACTGGAAATCAAGAATTGGCTCTAGGCAGTAAGGCAAAGCAAACCCCAAGCTGAGGACGGGTGACCTCACTCTCCTCCACACATGCTGGAATGGCTACTGATCTTGGCTGGGCTTTGGCTTTTCCCAAGAAAGGCATGGCCCAAGCCAGAGGGGAAGTGGTCAGAAATGACAAACATCTGAGCAGCTAACTCAAATCAGGTCATGTCCACCTGGATTGCCATGCCCCCTGGGCCTGCTGTGTATCTTCCTAAATGGCCGGGGAGAATGGAAAAATCTTGATTCAAGATTAGAATACCTGTGTTCAGATGCTGACTCCGCCAATTCCTGGGTGTTTGATCTAGAGTAATTCATTTCTAACTCTGAGTCTCACTTACCTTCATCATCTGCAAATAGTTGTTATTATATTGTTTTTAGAGGGTTGTTGTTTTTTTTTTTTATATTGAGTCAAAAGGTCTCTCACTTCTGCCCATAAATCCTCATAGTTCCCTCTGGAGCTACTCTAAGTCTACTCTAGTCTACATAGCAGCCCTTCAGGTATTTGAAGGCTGTTATAGCCTCCATAAGCCTTCTTTTCTCTGGGATTCAATGAACGCCCCTTATTCTCCAAGGTGATCTGCCTAGGCCATGACTTACTGGCTTCTCCCCCAGGGCCCCAATTTGTCAATGTCTCTTAAAATCAAGGGTCTAAAGGGGAAACATTAAGGTGAGGGAATTGTTCTGTATCTTGTTCTATATCTTGAATGTGGGGAAACATTAAGGTGAGGGAATTGTTCTGTATCTTGTTCTATATCTTGAATGTGGGG